TAGGCCAACAAGATGTTTAGCTACATGCTCCCCTCTTCAGCCTCCCTCCTGCCACTAGCACGGAGTAATATGGCAGCCATGCAGCCGTGCTCAGTAATGCAGGATCGAGGTACCTTGTGTCCAGGCTGTCCCACTAATCACTTCTCACCTGGCCCTTAGAAGCAGTGGTTAAAGTAGCCTCAACAGTCATCACCCCAGTCAGAGGAGGGGAGCTGTTAGGCAGTTCTGCTGCTCTCCAGAGCTGGAGATAGCAGGGCAAGCGCTTGAACCCTGCCTGACCACTTGAACCCTGCCTGTGAGTGCAGCGCTTTGCTCCCATTTGGGCAGGATCCAGCTCTTGTTATGAGCTTTTGTGACCTACTGCTGTGAGATGGAATTCCACATCAAACCCTCCCCATGATGGTGGTGTTACTCAGCAGAGCTAGGAGTGGATCAAACAGACAAAAGGCATTTCAGGAGCTTTGGAGATTCTTTGCAGTGAAGCTGGCATCAGACCTGGTTAGTCTGGGCTTGGTTTGCACCAAAGGCCAGAATTTTCAAAATGCTCAGCACCCACAATTGGAGCTAGATTTTGAAAACAGCTCAGCACCTGTTGTGGGGAGGGTACACCCCATCACAGCACCTTTGTAGGCAGTAGAACAAGTGGTCAGATTCCCCAAAGAACAGTCTGAATAAAAGTGTCACAATGGGAATTGCTGGGACCAAGGTTCCTGAAAATCTGTTCTCAGTTGTAGCGCTCACTACTTGAAAATGTGCCCCACATTTCCATTAGCCTGACTAGGTCCTCTCATGAGCAGCCCACCCCTGCTCTGCCAGCAGATTTGCTGATGTGTTCCTCAGGCGGAATTTTTGTCCCAATAACAATGTCACACTAACCTGGTGCCTTTCATCTGGGGACCTCAGGCTGCTCTGCAAAAGTGTATACTATTATCCCCATGACACAGAGGAGGAAACTGATCAGAGAGAGGCTGAGCTGCCCACAGTCACGCAGTAAAGCAATAACAGAGTGAGGACTAGAAACCAGGGCCTCCATGGTCAGAACTGAGGAGTGTTTTGGGGGACTCAGTTGGAGATACCTTGAAGAAGCTGATTGTCAGAGGGAGGGTGCTCCGCACTTTCTGAAAGCGCCCCCCCCCCGCAGTTTCTAAAATTAGGAATCCAAACACTGAATAAGGAGTTACGTTTGGAAGTCATAGGCCCGGCTCTTCTGGTCTCCCATTCAGCTCACTAAACAGTGCTTTTTAGGACAAGTGTTGTCAAACTAATCCAGATCACACAGAGCTGCTTTATTGCTTGACACAGGAACCAGATTTGAAGATCATGCCAACAAGTGTAGCCTAGTGGGCCAGCTTACCTCTATTACATTCACTGCTTTGCATTATATTCTACTTTATTATATTCAGCAGTAATGCAAGGAAACCTACAGGCTTGTATCCTGTAAGACGCTGGCTTCAGCAGTTAGCATGAGGCTTAAGGCCTGCGAACTTTGGCATAATTAAACTTAGGTAACTCATAAATTTTGGGGAACTGGAAGTAGAGTGTAGGGCAGGGATTTTTGTCCATAATGACATCAGCCATCCACTGAACATGAACTGACACCACCTTCTGGAAGGTTTTAGATGGAACATCTGACTGCAAGAGTGCCATGGCAACGAATTGACATATATGATAAAGGGGTGAAATCATAAATACACCAACCTATAGAAAAAGGACATCTTAACATTGGTAAGGGGGGGAAATACAAATAAGAAAGAGGGGAGAAACCCCTCTTGAATATGCATTAGACATGGTAACGTCAACGTAACATACTATAAAAGTGGCATCTCAGGGCAGTTGGGAAAGCGATGTGGCCCTTGGGAGGGGCCAGAATGATGGTAACAGTGATGAGGAAGATAATGGCTAACATTTCAGGTTGTTTTGCAAGGGATGGTGGGAGTATGGATGTTCAGATGTACTTTCTGTATTACCTCTATCTACCTTACTGAGTTAGAGTGTGTGAGACTTCGCTAAATGTATTAATAAATTATTTATTTGTAAATCTAAAAGAGTTCCTGTAGTGTGAATGTTGCACCTGTGCACATCGGGGTTCCCAACTATATAATAATTTTAATAATACTGGGCCTGATCTTGGGACAAGAACCTGTGAACCCTCAAAGTGATTACTGGGAATTTGTATTCATAATCTATAGATCAGGCTACACAGGGTATAACCCTATTCATTGGAGGATTCAGATATAAGGTAAAACCACAGGAGAGTTGAAAAGACATCTACCCGCATCACACTAACCCAGTGGTTCTCAACCTGTTTACCACTGTGGGCTGCATATGCAGCTCTCTATGTGTTATATGGGCCACATCCACACAATATATACACTACCTTTATAGCCCTGAGGATGTCACATGGGCTGCAGCTATTTGCTGACTGGGCCACAAGCGGTTCACAGTCCGCAGGTTGAGAACCACTACACCAACTTTTTGCTACTCTGTTTGCAGCCTTCAACTACCTGAAGGGGGGTTCCAAAGAGGATGGAGCTCGGCTGTTCTCAGTGGTGGCAGATGACAGAACAAGGAACAATGGTCTCAAGTTGCACTGGGGGAGGTCTAGGTTGGATATTAGGAAAACTGTTTCACTAGGAGGGTGGTGAAGCACTGGAATGGGTTACCTAGGGAGGTGGTGGAATCTCCATCCTTAGAGGCTTTTCAGGTCCGTCTTGACAAAGCCCTGGCTGGGATGATTTAGTTGGGTTTGGTCCTGCTTTGAGCAGGGGGTTAGACTAGATGACCTCCTGAGGTCTCTTCCAACCCTAATCTTCTATGATCCTATGTTGTGAATCAGTACAGCTGCAGGACTCATGACTTTCACTTCTGCTCCCCATCACAGTCTTAACTTTCACTAATGTGGTTGCACCAGAAGAAACCATTCTGGAAAATCTTAGACACCCTGAAGGAAGAGAATGCAAGTGAGTGATTTGAATGTTGAGGCTACTGCTAGGACTGCATCGGGAGAAACTCCCTATCTGAGATATACATAGTAAATATATTATGTATATCAGTGATCACATTATCCTTTGCACTTGCATGGCATCTTGAATCCTAGAATCTTGAAATATTCTGCAAACATTACAGATTAAGTCTTGTAATCTTTTTACAAATTTGAAAACTGAGGCACAAAGAGAGTGAAATGACTTGTCCAAAGTCGCACAGAGAGTCAGTGAGATAGGTTCTCATCCTATCTCTAGACTGCTCTCCAGTAATGGACTCTTGGTACAGTATCCCTGACTGCAACCTAAAATGTCAAATTAAACTACATACAAGGTTGTGAGGTAATATCTTTAATTGGACCAACTTAAACTAAAGTCACCATTCATTTTCCTCTCCTTGCTTCGGTGGTCTCCGCCATTCCAGACAGCTCCTGCTCTGCTCCCTTAGCTTGTCATTTTGCATGCTAGCCTGGGCACTCCAGGGGCTGGGGCATGTTTTTTGTGAGAACTTCCTGATACAGAGAGGCCCGGGGACTGCTTTTCTGTCAACCCAGTCTGGAACTTGGTGGTAGAGAGAGAAGCCTTGCTGCGAGCAGCATCCTGCCTGGATCCCCTTTGCAAACAGGCCTGAGGGGAGCAAATCCCTTCTCTGGATTGTTTGTTTGGCAGGGATGGAGAGAGTTTTCTGAAGAATGTTATAGAGGAGCTTTTGCTAAAATCTTGTGTGATGTTATCTAATAAAATATAACCCTGTAGATCAGGGGTCTCAAACACGCAGCCCGTGGAGTTATTTCCTGCTGCTCGCCATAGGCGCCAACTCGGTGCTCCGCGGCTGGAGCACCCACGGGGAAAATTTAGTGGTTGGTCTGCATCCACCAGCAGCCAAGCTCCCCTTGAGCTGCGGGAACGTGGCGTGCTCGGGGAGGAGGCAGGGCCAGGGCGGGGATTTGGGGAAGGGGTTGGAATAGGGGCAGGGACGGGACGTGTTTTGTCATTTGAGTGAGGTGGTTTGACATTCTGCTTTGGCTGCTGTCTGCCGAAGGTGGAAGGTTTGCAGTGCTGTGGGATGAGCGATTTGGGTGGGAAGTTCTCTTCAGGGTGGGGTTTGGATGGTTTTGTTTCCTTGAATCAGATTAATGTGCCTCTATCCTCTATCAGGACAGCACCTCCTGCCTCCTGTTATAAGACATGCTCACACGCTGCACATGTTCCCTGCCTACAAACTGCAGCTGACTGCTGCCTGCCCCTTCAGCATTTTCATTCTTTTGTGTACATGAACTAGGAGGCTCTTCCCCCACACGAATGGTTACAACAGAACATCACCTTGTGGAAGCTAGTGTCCTCTTTGCTTTTAACCCCAGTCCAGGTGCTCAGAGCTGGGGGAGTCTCAAGGATTGCATCCTGCACATGTTGCCATACCTCTGGCCCCAGAGCCCTAGACTACCTTTAAATCAACAGACAGGAGTCCCAAGAGACTTGACCACCAGAGCCTAAGCTGAGACCAGCAAACTCATATCATGTAACATCAGTTTGGCTTTAAATCCTAGACTCAGGAGGTGAGAACCAAGTGTCTTGCCCAGGCTCTCCATTTTCCCTTTCAGATCAAAACCCTCTTGGTGCCTCCAGAGTAGCTGACGGGGCAGGCGAGCCATGATATGTTCAGCAGGACCCCACAGGTCTCATTTAGCTGTAGTTGTTCATTTTTTTCATTTTTGACTATACTTTTGTATCGTTGTATGAAAAGGTTTCAGTGATGTGGCCCTCAGGCCAGTGTACTAGTCCTCATGTGGCCCTCGTGGTCATTGGAGTTTGAGACCCCTGTTGTAGATGATTCTCGCTACCACTGTTATATAATTGCAACAAATCTTGTATAAATTGTGTCAAGTAAGGTGTCTATGGAAGGGTAATGATTTGCTGAATATGGTTATGCTATTTGCACGCATATATAATTTTTGAATCTGAAGTTATGAGTATTGGCGCTATATCTGCATTTCTAATGTGTTTGCTTCTGGGAAACAGCAACAAGGTGTTTAGCCAGCACATTGTGAAGAAACTATTCAAGTTAAGTGGCTCATAAAAAGGACACCTAACTCACAATGGAAGACGCCCATCTACACTGAATGGACGGATCTGTGAATGTTCTGTCGGGTATTGGTAGTGGCTTTTCCTGTGACTAAGTGAAATCACTCAGGGATATGTGACTTGCCCATGTGACTCCAAACTCCATCTTTTACCTGTAATTTTCCACTAGCCATGCTGAGGGCTTTGTTTGAGACAATGGATTTCCTTCCCTCCACATGGCAGAAGCTATAAAAGGTGCTGAAAACATCTCCATTTTGTCTCTTTCAAGCTCCAGCCTCTTTCCTGCTCAAGCCTCTGGACTATGGACTTGTACTAATGGGAGCATTTTGTGACACTTCCAGTGATTTGGAAGCAACCAGACTTGACTTCAGCCAGCAGTTTATTCCATCACTGCTACAAGACTGATCCAAGACCTTTGCAATTATTGTATGTATTTGATTTCTTTAACCAATTTTAATTTATTTTCTTTCAATAAACTTCTAGATTTTAGATACTAAAGGATTGGCAACAGTGTGATTTTGGGGTAACATCTGAGTTGTATATTGATTGGGGTTTGTGGCTGGTTCTTTGGGATCAGAAGAACCCTTTGTTTGATTAAACTGGTTTTACAGAACCACTCATCTTTAAGTCTAGTGTCTGGGTGTTGAATCCACATCTGGAATGCCTGAGGAAATTGCTTTTCTGACTTCTTGTTAGCCAGTGTGGTGAAACAGAAGTTGACTTTTGTTGCTGGTTCGGTATATCTTATAGAGAATAACCACCAATTCTGGAGTGTGTTTGCCCTATTTCTCAGCAGTTTGACCTGAATTTGGTATTCTCAGTCGTGACCCACGAAGGCAGGTGACACCCTGGACCAAAATCCTCCCGTCCTTGCTCATGGTTTACTCTGCCAAATGCCCAGGATAAGCCTAAGGACTGAGTAAACATTCACTGTGGACCTCACTATTTGGCCTTCTAAGTCCAGGGAATTTGCAGTCGAATCCACGTTGTTAACTCCCATCTCAGAGGAGTCCTGGTCAGCAGTGCTCCCTGAGGTGCAGGGGCTGGCCAGGAAGGTACAAACACTATTGTGCTCAGCACTCTCACTGGGACAGGATTTTCAGAGTTGTTCAGTGTTACAGGTTTGATCTATGGTCCTCTAGATGACAGTGGCAAGGAAGCACCACTGTGTCATAGAATCAGAGAAGATCAGGGTTGGAAGAGACTTCAGGAGGTCATCTAGTCCAACCCCCTGCTCAAAGCAGGACCAACCCCAACTAAATCATAGTTAGGTTATGACACCTCTTTAAATGTCAATCTTCCCTAAGTCTTTTAAAATTGACTTAGGGTTCTCTGAAATTTGGTGTGCCTCAGGAGAGTGCAGGGTAGTAGAGTGACTCACATTTGCAGTGATTTGAGCCAGGGGTTCTGGAGATGGAAGCCCCCAGATATAGCCATTTTAATAAAAGTTTCCAGGTGGGGTTTTTTGCTCTGAGTTAGAGATCAAGCTGTTGATGAGCTATGGGTCAGAATGGTCGCAATCTTAGAATCATAGAATCTGTCCAGTTTTACCCAAGATAGTGCATGGGGCCCACTAAATCTTTGGGGAGTCCAAATTAAGAACAGTAAGATGGAGGTTGTGGAATCTCCATCACTGGAAATTTTTAAGAGGCAAACAGCTCTCAGGGTTGGTTTAGATTACACTTAGTCCTGCCATGAGTGCAGGGGACTGGACTAGAATACCACTCTAGGTCCATTCCAATCCTACAATTCTCTGAGTCCATGATTTAAGAAAATATACATTTTTACACTGTGTATGCACCATTACAGAAAAACAGCTAGAGGGTTTCCACTCCCACCATTTTATGACTTTTAAAACTCAACTTTTGTAAGTGCTTTAAAATAGGAATGGTTAGTCTGATGGCTTGGAAATCTGGTGGGCCTCCTGAGGGCGCAGAGTAGCACTAGTGATCCAAATTTTAAATTTGGGACCATTTGACCTAGGGGTCCCCGAGTTACAGGCTGCCCCCAAAAACTTGTTTCCTTCTGTACTGTTAAACCGAGAGGTACTAATGTCTGGGTGAATCACAGACCTCATTGAGACAGGTGATTGTGAACTCACCCATCAGTTAACATAACTAAGGATAAGTCAATCACAATCCCCCACATTAGACAAAAGGAGTTTTGGAATAAGTGTCCGGAGGGTGCTATAATTTGTGAGTCATGGGTGGCAATTGGATTTTGATGACTAAGTCTTTGTGGCGGGAGGGGCAGAATTAGGCATGTGAACGTTTCCTGGGCAGAGAGCAGTATGGAGTCAGAGGAGTAGAGAAATAGAGTGGAGAGTGGTGTGGGGCTGCAACGAGGGGAGAGGGGATTGTGGGGAGGGGGGTAAGTGGGGATGGGTTTGAGGGGAGGGGAGAAAGATTGGGAGGTCAGGGGAGGAAGACATAGTATCACCCAGCTCTTCCAGTGCCCCAGTCCCCTGCACTCTTGCGCTCTGCTGCTCAGCCAGTGCACCCGAAGCCTTCCCTCCAATGCCCTACACCCCCAGCTCTGCCCATGCACCCCAACTTTCCTGCATCCCCCAGCAATGTCAGTGCGCCCCAGCCTGCCTGAACTGCATAGCACCACAAGCCTTGCACACCCAGCTCTGCCAATGCACCCCAACCACTCTGGGTCCCAAGCTTCCTGCAGCTCAACCGCCCTGCAGTCTCAGCCCTGCCAATGTACCCCGATCACCCTGCACCTCAACCCCCTGTACCCCCCCAGCTCTGCCAGTGCATCCCAACCCTGTTGTCCTCTAATAACAAATGGGGAGGGCAAAAAGTGGTAAGATCTGAGCACTCAGTACAAAATTGAGAGGTTGAGAACAAAATTCGTCAAGGAAGCAAAGGACATGAAGAGAAGACATTCTTGAATTGCCGATACACCAATGCTAAGAAGCTGGGTAAGAAACTAAGGGAGTTGGAATTGTTCATTTCTGAGCATACATTCGATCTAGTTGGCATTACAGAATGCTGGGGGATGATTAACACGCTTGGAATGTTAAAACTAGGGCCGTCAAGCGATTTAAAAAATTGTGATTAATCGTACTGTTAAACAGTAATAGAATACCATTTATTGAAATATTTTTGGATGTTTTCCACATCAAGTATATTGATTTCAATTACAACACAGAATACAAAGTGTACAGTCCTCACTTTATTTTTGATGACAAATATTTGCACTGTAAAAAAGAAACAAATGAAATAGTATTTTTCAATTCACCCAATACAAGTACTGTAGTACTTTTTTATCATGAAAGTTGAACTTACAAATGTAGAATTATGTACAAAAAATAACTGCATTCAAAAATAAAACAGTGTAAAACTTTAGAGCCTACAAATCCATTCAGTCCTACTTCTTGTTCAGCCAATCGCTCAGACAAACAAGTTTCTTTACATTTACAGGAGATAATGCTGTCCGCTTCTTGTTTACAGTGTCACCTGAAAGTGAGAACAGGCATTCGCATGGCACCATTGTAGCCAGCGTTGCAAGATATTTATGTGCCAGATGTTGTAAAGATTAATATGTCCCTTCATGCTTCGACCACCATTCTGAAGGACACGTGTCTCTGCTGATGACGGCTTTTGCTTGATAACAATCCAACGCAGTGTGGACCGACACATGTTCATTTTCATCATCTGAGTCAGCCAGCAGAAGGTTGATTTTCTTTTTTGGTGGTTCAGGTTCTGTAGTTTCCACATTGGAATGTTGCTCTTTTAAGACTTCTGAAAGCATGTTCCACACCTCAGATTTTGGAAGGCACTTCAGATTCTTAAACCTTAGGTTGAGTGCTCTAGTTATCTTTAGAAATCTCACACTGGTACCTTCTTTGCGTTTTGTCAAATCTGAGGTGAAAGTGTTCTTAAAACAAACATGTGCTGGGCCATCATCAAAGTCTGCTATAACATGAAATATATGGCAGAATGTGGGTAGAACACAGAACAGGAGACATATAATTCTATCCCAAGGAGTTCAGTCACAAATTTAATTAATGCATTAATTTTTTAACAAGCATCATCAGCATGGAAGCATGTCCTCTTTAATGGTTGCCAAAGCATGAAGAGGCATACAGATGTTTAGCATATCTGGCACGTAAATACCTTGCAACGCCAGTTACAAAAGTGGCATGCAAACATCTGTTCTCACTTTCAGGTGACGTAAATAAGAAGTGGGCAGCATTATCTCCCTTAAATGTAAACAAACTTGTTTGTCTCAGTGATTGGCTGAACAAGAGGTAGGACTGAGTGGACTTGTAGGCTCTAAAGTTTTATATTTTTTTGGCTTTGAGTGCATTTATGTAACAAAAAAAACTGTGTTTGTAAATTGCACTTTCACGATAAAGAGATTGCACTACAGTACTTGTATGAGATGAATTGAAAAATACTATTTTGTTTATCACTTTTACAGTGCAAATATTTGTAATCAAAATAATAATATAAAGTGAGCACTGTACACTTTGTATTCTGTGTTGTAATTTAAATCAATATATTTGAAAATGTAGAAAAAGCATCCAAAATATTTAATACATTTCAGTTGGTATTCTATTATTTAACAGTGCGATTAAAACTGATCAATTGTGATTAATTTTTTAAATCACGATTAATTTTTTCGAGTTAATCACATGAATTAACTGCAATTAATTGATAGCCCTAGTTAAAATCAATGGTTATAACCTATTTAGGAAGAATCAAATGGTCAAAAGGGGAGGGGAAGTGGCACTCTATTTCAAAAATGGCATTACCTGTTTTCAAGTCACTGATAGCTTGGAAAAAAATCTTGAATGCTTATGGATCAAAGAACAAGATGGCGTCTTAGTCAATGTCTGCTTCAGACCACCAAATGGTACTAGGGAACAGGATGACCATCTCCTTACATACCTATCTATAATGTGTAGGAACAAAGGCATGCTCATGGGTGACTTCACTTTGAGTAACGTGCTGGAGGTGTCATACTGCCAGTACTAAAACATCCTTGCAATTTCTAAATATTATAGATGAACATTTCCTAACTGAAAAAACATTGCATTCAACTCAAGAGAATTCTATATTAGACCTCGTCTTGACAGATAAAGAGGAAATGATGACAGAACTAAAAATTAATGGCAGTTTAGTACAAGTGATCATGACTTGATCACATTTATAATGTGCCAACAGAATGAAGTCCAGAACAGTGATAAATATACTTGATGCTTTAAATGAGCCAGTTTCACAAAGCTGAAACCAACAATGAGCCAAATCAGCTAGGAAGAAGACTTTAATAATAAAAAATGTGAATGATAAATGGGAATTGTTTAAGAACACTTCACTAGATCCCCCCAAAAGCCACAATCTAACAATCAAGGAAGCAGGACATATTGGTTAAAAACAAACTTGGCTTAGAGACTGAAGGCAGCTATAAAAATAATAAAAATATAAAATATAACAAATGGAAGAAAGGG